TGACCCATTGGTTATTGAGTAACATGTTGTTTAATCTCCACATATTTGTGAATTTTCCAGTTTTTTTCTTGTGATTGATTTCTAGTTTCATAACATCATGGTCAGAAAAGATACTTGATATGATTTCAATCTTCAAATCTTTTAAAAAGATTTAAGATCTTTTCATATCTCTTTAATAACATATGTTCTATCCTGGAGAATGTTCCACATGCACTTGAGAAGAATGTGTATTCTGCTGCTGTTGGATGAAATGTTCTATAAATGTCTGTTAAGTCCATCTGGTCTAATGTGTCATTCAAGTCCAGTGTGTCCATATTGATTTTCTTTTGGATTATCTCTTCTCTGTTTGAAAGTGGGGTATTGAAGTCCCCTACTATTATTGTATTCTTGTCTATTTCTTCCTTTTGGTCTGTTAATATTTGCTTTATATATGTGGGTGCTCCTATGTTGGGTGCATAAATATTTACAAATTTTTTATCTTCTTGTTGGGTTAACCCTTTTATCGTTATAAAATGACCTTCTTTGTCTCCTATTACAGTCTTTGGCTTAAAGTCTATTTTGTCTGATATAAGTATAGCTACTCCTGTTTTCTTTTGGTTTCCATTTGCATAGAATATCTTGTTCTATCCCTTCACTTTCAGTCTGTGTGTCCTTAAAGCTGAAGTGAGCCTCTTGTATGCAGCGTGTAGTTAGGTCTTGTTTTTTTAATCCATTAAGCCACTCTATATCTTTTGATTGCAGAATTTAGTCCATTTTATTTAATTATTGATAGGTATGAACTCACTATTGCCATTTTGTTCATTGTTTTCTGGCTGTTTTGTAATTCCTTTGTTCCTTTCTTCTTCTCTTTGTCTCTTCCTTTGTGATTTGATAATTTTCTGTAGTGGTATGCTTAGAATCCTTTATCTTTTGTGTATCTATTATAGGTTTTTGCTTTGTGGTTACCATGAGACTTATATGAAACATCTTATATTTATAATAGTCTATTTTAAGCTGACAACTTAAGTTCACACATGGACTAAAGCTCCATATTTTACTCTCTCCCATATGTTTTATGTTTTTGATGTCACAGTTTGCATCTTTTTACCTTGTGTATCCGTTAACAAATTATTGTAGTTATAGTTATTTTTACTACTTTTGTCTTTTAACTTTCATACTAGATTTGTAAGTGATTACCCACCACCATTTATATTAGAGTATTCTGAATTTTACTATATATTTATCTTTGTTGTTCCTAATTAGTGCTCTTTTCTTTCAGCTTATAGAAGTCCCTTTAACATTTCTTGTAAAGCCGGTCTGGTGGTGATGAACTCCTTTAGTTTTTGCTTGTCTGTAAAACTCTCTCTCTCCTTCACTTCTGAATGACAGCTTTGCTGGGTAGAGTATTCTTGTTTGGCAGTTTTTTCCTTCAGCACTTTGAATATGTCATGCCACTCCCCTCTGGCCTGCAAAGGTTCTGCTGAAAAATCTGCTGATAGTCTTATGGGGTTTCTCTTATACATAACAAGTTATTTTTCTCTTACTGCTTTTAAGATTCTCTCCTTGTCTTTAACATTTAACATTTTAATTATAATGTGTCTTGGTGTGAGTCTCTTTGGATTCCTTTTATTTGGAACTCTCTGGTCTTGCTGGATCTAGATGTCTGTGTCCTTACCCAGGTTAGGGAATTTTTCAGCCATTATTTCTTTGAATAAGCTTTCTGCCCCTTTCTGTCTCTATTCTCCTTCTGGGACCCCTATAATGCAAATATTGGTTTTCTTGGTGTCCCATAATTCCCTTAAGCTATCTTCACTCTTTTTCATTATTTTTTCTTTTTGCTTCTCTGATTGGATGAATCCAACTTCCTTGTCTTCAAATTCACTGATACTTTCTTCCACTTTATCTAGTCTGCTGTTGAACTTTTCTCTTGACTTTTTCAGTTCAATTCTTGTATTCTTCAGCTCTATGATTTCTGTTTGGTACTTTTTTATATTTTCTATCTCTTTGTTGAAATTCTCACTTTATCATGCATTGTTCTTCTGACCTTGGCAAGCATCTTTTGACCATTATTTTGAACTCTTTATCAGATAAATCATTTATCTCCATTTCATTAAGGTCTGTTTCTAGAACTTTATCTTGTTCTTTTGTTTAGAACATATTCCTGCTTCTTCATTTTCCTTGACTCTCTATGTTGGTTGCTATACAGTAGATAAAAGAGCCACCTCTCCCAGTCTTGAAGGAGTAGACTCATGTAGGAGATGAACCTTATTGTTCAACTTTGCCCTAGCTCTTGGTTGTCTCTCAAACCTTTGTGATTGTCCCACCAGCCTTCTTTGTTCTTAGTGGCTCCCAGTAGTTGAGGGTGTGTCAAGACCTTTCAGTGTCCCAAAGGGGAGGATCTCATTCAGCACCTAGATTCAGGCTGATTGGAAGCTGCACTCTCAGGTAGCAGCTTTGAAAGTATGCAAGTAGACCTCTTTCAGGGAAATAAAGACTGGAAGCTTGGTGTTTCTCTCTTTTACCTCTGCACTGAGACCTGGGAGGATAGCCAAATAAGAAGTGTTTCTTTGTTTGCTCCTATGGAATCTGGAACTCAAGCCCTTGCTACCAGAGCCAGGCAATCAAGGAGTGTGTCCCCTGGGCAGCAGCCACAAAAGCTGGGGCATCAGATATGTGTACAAGTTCATTCCAGGGAGACACCGGTGACCTCGAGTGGGCCAGAGAAATAATGCAGAGATGGTGCCCACTGGCCTTCCCCATCTCCAGGGAAGATCACAGTCTGCCCTAGATGTGTGCTAAATTAGAAGACTGACCCTCAGGCTGCAGCTTTTAAAGTATGAAAATAGGCCTCAAACAGGTGTTTCTGTCTGCTGTCTCTATGCTAGGCCTGGGGGGATAGCTAGATGAGTCCTCATAAGCCCATTAAGAACTGTTTGCTATAGTCTGTTGGGTCTTGGGGATTCAAGTCCCATTGTCTTTCAAGGCTAGGTGTTTGGGGGACCCATCTCTCAGGTGGAAGTCTTAAAAGTTGGGGCACTAGATATTGAGTCCAAACCCTTTACTCCTCAGGGAGAAGCTAGGAGTTGTGAGTCCCCTCCTGATTGTATGTCACTGCACCAGGAGTGGGGTTTATGGCAAGATTGTGGCTCGGCTTTTCCTCCTCATTTTGATGTGGATTTTTATTCATTCACCAAATGTGTAGGAGTCACTCAGCTATTTTCTGGGTTTCTTTCAGAGGGAATTGTTCCATGTGTAGCTGTAGATTTGGTGTGTCCATGGGAGGAGGTGAGTTCAGGAGCCTCCTATGTTGCCATCATGGACTGGAACCTCCAACACTGTTTGTAATAGTCCCAAACAGGAAACTACTCAAATATCCATGAATGGATGAATAAATTGTGGTATAGTCACACAATAAAATTCTGTACAGTGAAAAGGATGAATGAACTACTGCTACAGAGCACAATGATGAATCTCCTAAATATAATATTAAATGAAAGAAGCCAAGCAAAAAAGAGTATGTAGTGTAGTATTCCATTTATATAAAGTTTTATAAATAAGCAAAACTAATCTTTGGTGACAGAAGTCATGATGGTAGTTATCCTTGGGTTAGGAGAGGAACAAGATGGGAGAGGGGAACAAGGGAGTGTTCAGGGGTTTAGGTAATGCTCTATTTATTGATGTGGATGCTAGTGATATGGATGTGTTCACATCATGAAAATTCATCAAGCTTATGATTTGTGTACTTTTCCATATATATACTGTACTTCCGCAGACAGTTAATTTGCCTTAGGTGAAAAAGAAATCCAATATCTTAGCAAACCTTTTCAGTGGCTTCCAATAGTACTCAGAATAAAACCCAAAGTCCTTACCAAGGCCTATAAGGCTATACATGATCTGGCCCATGGCTACCTCTTCCACATCATTTCTTACCATTATTTCCCTTGCTTACTCAGCTCCAGCCACATGGCCTTCTTGCTATTCTGCAAACATAATAAAAGTTCTTTCCACCCTAAGATTTTGTACTTGCTGTTCCCTCTGCCTGGAACACTCTTCCCTCAGCTTGTCACTTTGCTGGTTTCTTATCATACAGGTGCCAGCTCAAATATTACTTCTTCAAAAAAGTCCTTCACTCAACAGTCCATCTGAAATAGACTTCAGTCACTTTTTATCATGTAACACTATTTTTTTCTTCATAGCATCTGTAACTAGTTATGTATTTATTGTTCATCATCTACCTTTCTCAATAGAATGTAAACTCCCCAAAGGCTGTGATCATGTTGACACACCACATAGCACATAGCAGGTGCTCATATAAATATTAGGGTTGAATGGATGAATGAAGATCCCTGGGTTAACTGTCCACTAGGCTGTAGCTGAGATTGCTCCCACAAAGGGAAACACCTGAGAAGTTGTAAGTTATCCTGTTAAAAAGAAAGCTTTGTTACTACAACCTCTCTTGCCCACCTCAGCTTGGTGAGGAGAAAGCTCAGATCTTTCCCCAGTGCTTCTATGAAATTTGGCCAAGGGAATGTGCAAAACGTCATATCCTAAGATGGGAGAAACCAGCTAGAACTTACTTCCACCCCCTACCCCCTAGATTCTCTAAAGAAAACAAAATATGGGAGCTGGCCCAGTGGTGTAGTGGTTAAGTTCGCATGCTCCACTTTGGCAGCCCACGGTTCAAGGTTTCGAACCTTGGGCGTGGACCGCCACACTGCTCATCAAGCCATGCTGTGGCAGCATCCCACATACAAAATGGAGGAAGATGGGCATGGATGTTAGCTCAGGGCCGATCTTCCTCAGCAAAAAAAAACAAAACAAAACAAAACAAAATATGGTCTGTAGGCAGTGGAGCTCCTCTCTACAATCCTATAGTCCTGAGAGAATGTTGGCTTATTGTCACCTCATTTCTGGGACAAGTAACGAATATAGGGAAAGCCTTATATAAAATTGCTCAATAAATAACAGATGTCTTTAACATGTGTTTGAGGAGATCTTTCTTTCTCATGATTTCATTTTAGGTACAACAACTATGACCGGGCTGTCATCAATACCGTACCTTATGATGTTGTCCATCGTTGGTATACAGCACATCGGACCCTAACAATAGAGTTGAGGAGACCTGAGAATGAGTTTTGGGTCAAACTAAAGCCTGGCAGGATGGGTGCCAAACTCTGAAGATGTCAAGTAAGCTTGTTATACTGAAGGAGTGAAGAATGGGTACTTATATAATATGTGAGTCACAATCTTGCAAAGGAAAAAGAGAAAAGAATCCTGGGTGTTGGCCCTCATTCGGCCACTCACTCACTGAATGACCTGGAAGCAGGCCCCACCCTGTATCTAGGCATCAATGGCTCAGTGACTCTATTTGTATGATGCGGGAGATAGTCCCCAAGGGTCCTTCCAGCTTTATAATTCCTTTCTTTTTCTTTTGCTCTTGATATTTCCTCTAGATGAAAAATATCTTCAGCTTAGCATAAAACATAATGAAATAGTTTAACCCTTTGAGAAAGTATATAATAAGAATTTAAAAAGAAACAAATTATCTGATTTGCTTTGATAAGAAAACAATTACTCAAGAAACATAAGCTCCTCAAGTGCAAGGTCTATTACCTACCGTTGCCTTTGTAACTTCCATTTAGCCTTCTACAGGGCTATGCACATCGTAGTTTCCAAATGTTTGTTTAATCTCAAAAGAAAAATACTTCATTGAATGTAACCAGGAAACAACCTAAAGCTTTTCTTTTAAATGATCTCCTCTGATTTAGAGTTCCTTTGGTCGGCCCTTGTTCTGATGGTGTTTTTTCTCTCTCTTTGCCCATTTACAGGTCCTATTTATAGACAACTGGCGTGTCCTACATGGCAGGGAATCCTTCACTGGCTACCGCCAACTCTGTGGCTGCTATTTAACAAGGGATGACGTATTAAACACTGCTCGTCTCTTGGGGCTTCAGGCTTAAAATTGACAGCATTGCGATTATGAACACACCTGGCACCCTGGCTACAGAATTTCATATCAGCGGAATAATGTTGTATCAAAATGTACTTCAAATTGTCTCTTTACCCCATCACACAAAACAGAAGCATCCTCTTACTCTAGTAGGAGAAACCTGTTGGAAAGTGGCCTCTAGTGTGGTAGCTCTCTTCTCCAAGTTATAACATGGGCTCATTTGTTTTTTAGACCTTTTGATATAGTTTTGGTCAATCTAATTCAGAAATATAATCTCCACATGGATAGGGAAACAATAATAGTCACTAGGTAAAAACTTGTTGCAACTAGATCAGTTAGAAAGAAATGCATTCTAGGATTCACAAAATTTTTGGTCTTACGACACCTTAACACTCTTAAAAGTTATTGAGGACTCCAAAGAGGTCTTAAGTGTGGGTTATCTCTATTGATACTAATGATATTCAATATTAAGACTGAGAAATGTATAAAATTCAAGAACACAAAAGCACACATCCCTCAACTATCAGAGAAATGACATCATCACATGTTATGTAGCCTTTGGAAAATTCCTCTGTAGATTTATGAGATAATGAGAGTAAAAAAGGCAAATGTCATCTTAGTGTTGTTATAAAAAATAGTTTTTAACACACAGACCCACTAAAAGGGTCTCAAGGACCCCTCCAGGTGTCTTCAGACGACACTTTGAGAACCAATGGGCTGGAAGATACCTTGGGACAATTCTTTACATAGGCCTGTGGATTAAAGAGTTTAGCTGAAACCCTAGATTTTTCTCTACAGTCTCCTAGAACTACAGATATTGTAGGAATTGCTTGATAGCA